TCGTGACATCTTGATTATATGCAAATGAAGGGAGGGGGAGATGAGAGAGAGAGAGAGAGAGAGAGAGAGAGAGAGAGCAAGAGAGAGAGACGAGAGAGAGAGACGAGAGATGAGAGAGAGAGAGAGAGAGAGAGAGAAGAGAAAGAAAGAGAAGAAGAGAGAGGAGAGAGGAGAGAAGAAAGATAAGAGGGAGAGAAAGAAAGAAAGAAGAGAAAGAGAGAGAAAAGACAAACACATTTACAGACACACAGACAGACAGACAGGTGTAGAGGAGAGGGTAATTCGAGGTGAAAAAGAAAGAAAGGAAAAAAAAAACAGAAAAAAAATCTCAACTTATTCATTCATTTTTATGCATCTCTCTCGATAAGTTCTATTTACACTGTCGCACTTTAATAAGGAACTGATTCTTTTTACATATCCTTTAGAAAGCAAATTTGGGAAAAAATGCAATAAAGGACAAAGATATTTCGTTGTCATTTGTTAACTGAAGTAGAAAAGAGGAGATATATTTATTGTTAAATTTATGGATTTTATTTTTGTTTATATTTGTGGTGGGGGAGGAAGAGGGGGAGGGAGGGGAAGGGGAGGAAGGGGAGGGAGGGGGGGAGAGAGTGTGTAGGAAGGGGGGGTGGAGGATGGATGGGGGAGAGGAGGGAGAGGTAGGGAAGGGAGAGAAGAGAGAGAAGAATGGGTAGGGAGGGAAGGATGGTAGAAGAAGAAAGGAAAGGTAAGGATGGGGAGAGAAGGGGATAGAGGAGGGGTTGGAGGGGGAGGGAGAGGGAGGATAGAGAGTGGGGGGAAGGAGGGGTAGGGAGAGTAGGGAGGGAGGGGGATAGTGACGGGTTAGAAGTGTTGAAGACATACTCTGCGTGACGCCCGGTGGAAGGGGACTGGGGTGGGGGGTGGGGGTGGGGTGGGGTGAAGAGTGGAGGGGGGTTAGAGGGGCTTAGGGTATGCGGTGTACAGGGTGGGGAAGGGAGGGGAGGAGACTGGGGTGGGTGGGGCGGTGGGGGATTGAAAGGGTAGAGGGAGGGTTGGGGGGGGGGGGGGAGTTAGGGTAAGCGTGTCAGGGTGGGGAAGGGAGGGAGGGGGTAAGGGTGTAGGGTATGGGGGGGAGGAGGGACGGGAGGAAGGGTTTTAAGTCTTTTGTAAGAAGACCACTTGAATTCCCTCTCCTCCTCCCCTCCCCCTCCCTCTCCCCTCCCCCTTCTTTTTGTTTGTCGTGTATAAAATATTTCTATGTTGTGTTTTGTAATTTCTGGTTATTTGTTTGTTAGCGTGTTTTCCCTTTTAGTCTTTTTTGTCTGTCTGTCTATATTTGGTTTTTCATGCTTTTATTTAAATCGTCTCTTTATGTCTGTCTGTCTGTCTCTCTCTCTCTCTCTCTCCTCTCTGCTTCATTCCTCTCTTCTCGTCTCTCTCTC